CGGAGATCGCCCAGCAGGGAACGGTCATATTGCCGATCGCCATTCATGCGGCGGAGGCGGCTGACCAATACATACAATGCACTGCCCAACATCCAGGCCCCCAGCAGGTACATAAAAATATTGTAGTGTGGCTGCCGGGTGTTCATGAACAATACCAAACCGCCGGTACAGCCATAGACAATAATGGACATCAGTTCGCTTACATGACTGATACGGTACCCCTGTCGCTGTTTTGAAAGAATATGCCGGTGCAATGCAGCTTCGTTGATGCCGTATACTGGCTCATTGTTCTGTACATCCCAGATTCTTTTCATTTCATCAAATTCCATGGTGATTGCTTTTTTTTGATTGTGTGATCAAATATTTTTTTATGCGGTTGATCTTAACACCTACATTGGATTCTGTAATACCCAGTATAGTTGCCATTTCCTTATAACTGCAATTATCGAGCAATAGCAGCGTGACAGACCGATCGATGGGATCAAGCCGCTGCACCTGTTCATACAGCCATGCCAGCCTTTCATCTGCCTGCCCGGGACCTTCCTGCAAAACATGGGCTACCTGTTCCAAAGATGCTGCAGGACTATGCTTGCGTTCTGTTCTTGACCACCTGATTGACGTATTGAGTGACACCCTGTACAACCATGTACTTTCTGCGCAGGCGTGGCGAAAGCCCGGAATAGAATGCCAGACCTGGATACTGATTTCCTGGAACAGGTCATCCTGGTCCATGGCTGTAAACGCATAGGCTCTTACCACCTTAAAAAGCAGGCCCCTGTGCCGGGCCAGCCAATCATCGAAAATTACCTGCTGTTCCTTTGCTGTCACTGGTTGTTGGTTTGCTGATTAGTACCAGCAAAGAAAGGATTTCTTACAAAGAGCGGGATAATAATAGCAAACTTGTTACTGAAATACCTTTTTACGGCTGATGGAACGCAGATTAATATGATACTGAGGATAGATTTTTATTTCCCCCTAGTGTTCCCATTAATCTCACAATAATGTAAAACATTTCCTGCCAGGAAACATTGCACAGAATTAGAGGGTAACTGAAAGACTTCCAAAGGCAGCAATACTCAATTCCCTTTTTCTAAAAACGCCAGCAGTGATTCGTACCCTTTCCAGAACGCGTCATCTACATGTATTTTCCTGTCATTTTCCAGTGCGTGCCGCCAGTCGTCATAAGATTCACCCAGTAGATCAAGCCGGTAGCGGGCAAGCTTTTTTTCACTATCTGCAGATTCAATTAAACTTTTGAGCTCATGCAGGGGTTTTCTTTGATATTCACCCCTTGGCAAATCAAAATGCGTAATGGCCACTACTTTCAGGGAGCCATATCTTCCTTCCAAATCAACACTTTTCTGCAGCAGCTGTCTTACCAATATCTTCAAATCAACAGATTTTCGCTCATAAATAGCATTGTGACTGATGGCAGAATGATATAATTTCCGGATAGAATAAAACTCCGAAAATAGTGTAGTAAACTCCTGCAAAAGTATTTTTCTCGTTTCCTCGCGCCGGTTTGATTCAATTTGATTACTCCTGTCCTTCTCAATTACCCTATCTATCAATGTTTTCAGGAAAATACCCCCGCTGGTGATCAGTGAAAAAGTCAGTAAAGTCTTGTAGGTTTCAAATAACAAATTTGCAGGGGCAGAGACGCCATTGCTATTTGTTGTACCTGTTGCAGCAAATAAATACAGCAATGCCAAAAGCAGCGTCATAACAATTCCAAGAATTGCCGAAATAGTGAGGGTTTTCATTATTATTCGTTTAGATGTTGAACGAAGCAGTGATTATCAAAGGGAGTGGGGACTTCCCGTTGCGCGTATGAAGCTACCGGTCAGCACCTGCCGCTGGACGCAGCATCGTTTACCAGTTAATATTAAATATAAGAAAAAAAACAACCGGATAATTTTCAGGGTGCTGTGCAGCAAAAACAGCTTATGCCAACCGGGTAACGGGGCAATAGAAGTAACCCATCCGGGTCTATTTTGCCAACTTGCAGGGATACATATTTTTAATGTAAAAAACGCCGTCGAAAATCCGGGTCCAGCTGGCCGTATATTTTTTATGCAGTACTTCTACTACAGACCCATTCATGGTAAACACAGGAGCAGCTGATACATTTGCAGCATTGAATTTGGTGAAGTCGGTAAATGCATAGTTGTACGACTCATTTATCCAATTTTCAAAACTATTCTTCGGGGGTGTTTCTACCGCATAGGGTTTGCCACCCACAAAGCCGGTCTCTCCCGCGGAAGAAGTAAATCCAATAATATAGGTCTTGCGCTCAGCATCCGCCTCCTTTGTAAATTCAGTTCCCATTGATACAAGACGATTAAAAATTTTCCTTGAATAATGTCCGCTGTATTTTGATACATGGAAATTCTGGGCCCACACAATTATTTTCTCATTGGGATATTTTACTGCACTCAGCCATTTCAGGTTACGGGCCATCTGCACATCTCTTTCATTACGGCCCTTATCCATGTCTGCAGGCAGGTATTTAAACTCCAGCGTCATATGAATGAGGTTATCTACCACCTGTTTCCAAAAGCTGGCAGCAGCTGCATTGCCGTCCATCTGTGATTTTATGAGTGAGAGCTGTTCAACTGTTCTATCAAAAAATGCGGCCGTTTTTGGGCGGAGCATAAATTTTGTCATTGAATCTATTGCGGGCAATATTGCTGTTCGGTAATCAGCTTCTTTTGTTACCGGTAGCTGAAGGCTGCTGCATACACTGTCAAATTGATGAGTAAGGTTCTTATTGGAATAGGCCAGTGCAAGCTGGTTGTCAATACCTGTAATATGCAGCGGGTGGTTGGTAAGAAAGCTTTGCGGAATAAGTGTTTTTAATAAATACTGGCAGGCATCGCAATAGCTCCATACACCTGTTATATTTGCTTTCAGAAATTTATAGATATCTTCTTCAGACTTGTTTACATTGTCCCAGCCTCTGTTGAGAGCAAAAAAATCGCTTTCAAATGCCACCACATTGAACCCTTTTTTTTCATGCAGGTACCTTATCAGTCTTGTTTTTGCCACAAAACTGGCGCCATCGCCATGATCCTGCTCACCCAGCATCACTATTGTTGCATTACCAATGGCATTGCCCACCGCTTCCAGGTCTGCATAGGCGGTATCATCGGGGTCAATTGACTTTACCTGCGCTGTGTGCTCAGCTACATAGCTTTTAATATCCGCCTGGGCATGGATGCCAATAGTGCAATAAGTGGCAATGAACAGAAGAAAGATTTTATGCATAGAAGCCTGGTTGGTTAAAATGGCGCCGACGGTTACCAATATCACGTGTATTACCGGCAGCAGCCGACAACCTTGGTTGAATATACAAAAAATAGGCGCCCACCAATTTTTGGAATGCGATCATCCATGCTGCGTCTGGCCATTTTACCCCGGAAGGGTACCATTGCCTGTGACTGGCTTTCTCAATCTCTTTTAACGGCCCTTATGCACAGAAAAGAAGGAAACGCATTCAGCTCTTTAAAATGCCTGGGGTCATATTTTTCAAATTCCGGAACGGGGGTAGGCTCTACCAATTTATCTATATAGAACCCATTCGCAGTTATTGGCTCAATACATTCTTGCAAAGACCTCCGGTAGCTGTTTATTTCAATGGGCTTTCCGAAGCCAGTCCAGGTACATTTCACCGGCTCCACGGCAAAGTATTGGGTCGATTTAAAATAACCATACTCAAAAAAAGGATGTTCAATAGAAAGCACCAGCAGGCCTTTCGGCTTCAGCACCCTGCAAAACTCGCTGATGGTTGCTTTCCAGTCGGGCAGATAATGCAGGGCCAACGCGCAAAGAACGATATCGAAATAGCTATCCGCCAGCATGGGCAGCGGCTGCATCAGATCGTGAACAAAGAAATTGCCTGCGCCGCTGTTTCTTTCCCTGGCCAATACCACCATTTTTTCGCTGACATCAAAGCCGGTAACAGCTGCGCCCTCCGCCATCAGTATTTCTGCATATTTACCGGGACCACAAGCCGCGTCCAGAATCGATTTTCCTTTCACCGCCGGCAGCAGTGCCAGTGTATTGGGCCGGTCGTAATAAGCATTGTGCGGTTTATGATCAATCAGGGCATTGTAACTTTCTGCCATGGCTTCGTATGCTGCAATAATTTTTTCTTTCATGATTACAATTGAAAAAACAGTAAACCATCGTAGGTAAAATTAACCTTTCTTATTAACTGGCAAGGGCGGGCCAATACAGTGTTGCCAATCCCGGCAGCACTCATGCCGGGCTTTTCTTTTCCGTTACTACCGCATGATTATTTAAAAGTTTCCATTCGTTGTCAGTGTCCAGCACCAAAGAATTATAGGAAACAAAATAATTCGCTGCACTTTCCAAACGGAGTTTGACCATGGCGATGGTTCCGCAGTAATCGACACTTTCTATTTCCATGGTTCTTGGCAGTCCGCCAAATAAACCGTC